CAAGGCTGGTTACAAAAGAGAGATACACTGTTGTGTGTATTTGTGTTTGTTAGTTTAGATCAGTGAATCACAGCATGAAACAGAAATCTTTGGCTACATTGGAAAAGTATTGATTTCCTTAAAATAATGCCTCATGCCACAACCTGGCACATGMACTGAATGTGTCTTGACCTTGGGATCAATATGTGTGAACACCTCTTTGGACCTTGCAATCTTAGAAATAGAAAAAGAGCTGCAGCGTGTTGTTTCAGGTACTCCAACAAATACTATCCAGAAAAGCTCCTTGTGATCCAGGCAGCAAAAGAGAACATGAGTGTTTAAAATATTTTTGATATTATTTTGTAATTCTGTAAAATTTTCAAGACAATAGTTTCCTTTGATCATGATCATTCTGCGATGAACATTAGGAATACAAAGTGTTTGCACCCCCATGTATCCCCCATGGCCTTATTCAAATAAATGAGGTGGCTTTTTCCCATTTATCGAAACCAGCAATTATCCATTTATTTAACCGCAACTTGCTCGAGGGCCATCAAGAGACTTTTATTGTGGAATAATGGTTATAAAAAAACAAATTGTTAACCGTAAAAATTTAGATTTTCATTCACTCATGGCACCATAGACAAAGTTATGACCAGGTGAAAAAGCTTGATTTGAGATTATTTAATACAAAAACGGTACACTTGACATCGCCATCAATATTTTTTAACATTCAGCATTTTGTTTTCCTGAGAGCACTAGTTTAATGCATTCAGATTATTTTTTTTAACTTGTCTTGAGTTTTCATATCCTAGTAACAGTGTGAATAGAGCCAGTAGATGCTCTCCTCTAGGTCTCACCTCACACCAACCTGCAAACTCAAGGTGACGGGAGTAACCTGGGAATAATGTGCACCTGTGGTCACAGTGGGAAACAGGGAAGAGAATAGGACAAGAAAGAAAGAAAAGCTTGTGATGACCTTGTTCAATTCAATTGCCGAGCAGCGGTTCCACATGAGAGGGAGAGAGCTGTGCTCCTCCTGACTTGTGCACACACACAGAAATCATGCTTTTGTAAAAGTAGCAGAGGAACAAATCACATACAGGCATCTGCTTCAGGTACTTGTCGGTAAAAAAGGAAAAAAAAGAATACTGGTCCCCTTCCGGGCTTTTTACCTGTTCTGTCCGAGAAAGTGAGCTACAATAAACAAAGAAGGTTGGGAGGGAAACATTTGATTTAGCAGCATGGGAGAAAAGGAATGACAGTACATGTCAGGGGGATGGATTAAAACATTTCAAAAGAGAGGCATGCACAGGGAGATGGGGCTTCCTTGTGCTTCCTTTAAGGGAACTAAATTGCCAGCGGCAGGGTGAGAAGCATTGGTGAACTCAGCAGATTGCCAAGGCTGTGATGCTGCACGTTGCCCTCCTGAGATAACAAGTTGGCCAAAGGCAGAGGCAGGTGCTGCAGGAATTATTCAGCAGGTGTAGATGAAGGGGGAAAGGGAAGGGAGCAATAAAAAAGGGAGAGGTTGAGTGTGTTGGAGAGCTGGAGGAGTATGGTGAATAATGACTATAAGGATGATAAAGGATTTTTGCATATAGTGGACTGGAAATGGCGATTTGGGGGCAGTTCATTGTTTGTGCTGTAGTTAGTGGCCATGGTGCTGAAAATCAAATCAAACAAAAATTAAAAGCTTGTACATTTCATTTCTATGTTTGTTCTTTTGTCCACTGAGTCACCCTTGCTTCCACCCGTATGTCTTTGGTCATTCGGTTTGTAGCAAGCTGGATGAATGTTGCTCCTTTTCAATTACCTGTCCACTAATACTCAATTTCTCTGTTTCTTTCCCTGCCCCAACCTGTGCCCATTACTTTTCCATCTCATCTTACTTTTTTCTTCTTTCCATCATTTCACTTTTTCCTCCATCTGCCAATTCAATCATCTCCACCGCTTCCTTCTTCACTCCCTCAGCTAACATCCTGACAGTGGTCATCCTGTCCCAGCTGGTGCTGCGTCGTCAGAAGTCCTCCTACAACTATCTCCTGGCTCTGGCGGCTGCCGACATCCTAGTCCTGCTCCTGATTGTTTTTGTCGACTTCATCCTGGAGGATTTTATCTTGGCCACACCGCTGCCGCCATCATTAAACAATGCCGTGCAGGTCCTGGAGTTCTCCTCCATTCACACCTCCATCTGGATCACCGTGCCTCTGACCATCGACCGCTACATCGCTGTTTGCCACCCGCTGCGCTACCACACGGTCTCCTACCCAGCCCGCACACGAAGGGTGATATTCGCCGTATATATTGGGTGCTTGTTGTCTGCAGCTCCTTATTACTGGTGGCCTGAGCTATGGCACAGCCTGCCAGGAATGGGCAGTGGTGGTGTAGGAGGAGGAGGAGGTGAAGGAGGAGGAGAGAGCAACAGGAGAACCGTGGCCCAGCATGTCCTGGTGTGGGCCCACTGTGCCACCGTCTACCTCCTTCCCTGCACCGTCTTCTTCTCCCTTAACGCTGTCATTGTGCGCAAGCTACGCAGACGGCGCAACTGTTTCCGTCTCCGTGGCTACTCTACCGGCAAGACCACCGCCATCCTCCTCGCCATTACTTCCATTTTCGCTGTGTTGTGGGCACCACGCACCCTCATGATCCTCTACCACTTCTACTCCCCTCCTCCAGCCTCACAAGGTGCCGGCCGACTGCTCCATATGCTCACCGATCTGGCGAACATGCTTGCGTTGCTCAACACCGGTGTCAACTTTTTCCTCTACTGCTTTATCAGCAAGCGTTTCCGGGGCATGGCGGCCAACGTTCTGCGAGCACTTGTCCACTGCCGCAAGCAGCCACCGCCTTTCTATGCCAGCCACAACTTCTCCATCACAAGCAGTCCCTGGATCTCACCAGCCAACTCCCACTGCATCAAGATGTTTGTGTACCAGTATGACAAAAATGGGAAGCCCATTTGCATTTCGTCATGAGTCTTCAGCCACCAGCAGCTGCCCCCACCGTTAGTCCTGGGGAAACATATTTTGGGATTTGTCTCTATGGCGACTGAAAATGTCAACACGCCTGGAGAGCACAGAGGTTACGGTTTAGCTAGCTTTGAGGAATAACAAAGTGATAGTCTTGCAAGGTGGAAGAGCAAACAGCAGATGCGTACTTAGCAGGCCTGTCGTGTTCAATTAGCCATTCACAAAGCAGCAACCAGCATCAGATAGATGTTTGCTGTTTCCTCCATGCAAAAAAAAATAAAGCTACAGTAAAGGACTGACTTCAGCGAGCGACTGTTAGAAGCATAACACCGCCATCCATCACTGACTTTTATGAGACACTGTAACAGCGCTTGAGTATAAACTGACAACTGGCTGAATCCTTGGTGAAGCATCAAATGGCTAGTGACATTGGTTTCTTTATGGACGCTCTCTGTTGTGCACTGGTGACGGTGACGCTCTTCCAACAGCTGCGTCTTTGGTCCGTTGGGAGTCATCTCAGCAAAGCAGCGATCCAGTCAGAGTGCGGACATGACAGCATCGCACCTCAAGGGGTGATTCACTCAGGAGAAGCCTACGACAATGTGTCCACTTGTGCATCGTTACGACCATCTCCCCAGCAAATGTAAAACAGCGCTGGCATATCCAGTGTGATATGCAGAGTCTCAAAGGCATGTTGAACTGGGCTTTTATGAAACCAGCCCTCCCTGACTCTGACTTTCCTCATGTGCTGAATCTATCCACGTGGCGCGGATCAACAACAAAGCAGTGCTCACCATGAATGTTATCCCACCTCCAGACTCACAGGTTGTTGTAGGATGAGTAGGTGCTTTGCTTTTTCTTTGTAAAATATCTATTGATGGAAAACTTGACTGTTATTGTAATTTCACAAAAGACAAAAAAAAAATATGTCTCGGGGTCAGATTAGCTCCAAGGGATCTTTAATCCAGTAATCACCTTTCCAATATTAGGAAGAGGAAATTTCTGCTTTTAGTAGATAGTCCTCTATTAACTATTAATGGACCTTGATGACTTACTGTTAGCCATTATCTGGATGAATATAATGAATGTAAATGAACATGTCTTCAACCCTTTAGCTTTTTGGGAGACTGAGCAAAATGAGAGAGATAGAGAGGACAGAAGAGTCTGTTCTCCATCCTTTTGCTTGTTTGACCCCTGTGCAAGGTTTTCTGTCCCATGATGCAACGGTGAAAATGGTCTCAGGGCCACAGAGTCACAAATGCATCACTACTTGCTCTGCTGCTGGCTGATGGCAGCCCAGTAACATTTAACACCAAAACAGAGTCACATGAATCAACTCTGTCTCACTGTTACCCAGGTCCTACACGGTACCAAACCATAAATGTTAACACACACACACACACACACACACACACACACACACACACGCCTCTTGCCTTGGACAGCACACAGAGATCAGTGCACATCCATTCTGCGGACACTTTGGGGCATTAGAAGTGTTCATCTATCTCACAAGAATGGAGCCGAGCCAAAGGGTAGATTTCTGCTAATACCTGCCTCCAGGGATCAGAGACTTCAGGCCTTTTTTAATGAATAAGTCTTTAAATGTGATGAATGTTGGCCAGGTCTGTCATAACTGATAAAGTCATACCCTACAAAGTTCTGCTTGACACTCAAACATCTGAGTAACTTTAGGAGTGACTGCCTGTGTGTCGATTGGTCTTTTTTTTGTCATAGCAGCATATTAAAAAGCAAAAAGCTGTAAATCAGGCCAAGGGTTTCACACTTTTACACCATTTCGATCATCAGGTATCATAGCATGCATATTTAGTATTGCAGTTGTCTGTAACATTTATCTGATTTTGACATGTAACTAGTGAGTGACTCAGTTCAAATAGGAAATATGACCAAATACTGGACCCAGGTTGCCAATTTAAAAATATGAATTATGCTCCAGAGTTTCTATCCAGAGCTACATTAAAAACTAAGTTATGACAAGTGCTGCCTTTGCACTAATTCTTCTGGTTCAAGCAATCATCTTTCCAATTTCTTTTTCTAATCAAATATTACTTTAGCCGGACTTAACATAATCCTCCAGCTCCCCAACTCCCACTGTTGTCAGTTCAGTTGTGCACTTCAGCCATAACTCTGCTCTCAATTCCCATTTCTTTGTTCCACACAAAATCATTTGCTTCAGAACTGCTAAATGAACAAGGGAGTGCCAATTGCTAACTGCTCCTCACCTCCTTCACTCAGCGAACCCTCCACTCATCCCTCAATCCTCCCAACTGATGTCAAATGAACTTGCTCAAAGTTAATTTCACAAGTATCCTCTTTACTTTGCATGAACTGATTCCCTCAGTCTTTTGTGCTGCATGTATGTACTGAGCATAATGCTTCCCTCCATCATTCCATATCAGAAAATTGATCCATGCTGTTCGGGGGGGTTGGGCAGGTGTATGTTGAGTATCATTTGATGGAGCCAAAGGGTCGATAACCAGTAATCACCAAGCAAGATCCTTGAACTGCCGTCCATCAATGTCATTTCATGTAGTGTATGGGCGCTAAAATATGTACTTTCATGCAAATCATGTGTCTAATGAACAAGACTGGGATGACGAAAGATCATGCAGATGGTTTTGGGGTTTTGGCTTCAGCCTGCGGAGCTTATTCCAGATCAGTGTTGCCATGACAATCATTTTGCTTGTTAACCCCGTCCAGTGTTTGGGCCATGTTAATGTGACATTTGTGCAAGAGCCAGTGCCTCATTCCCGCGGCCTCCGGGGAATGAGGCAGGCATGCTGGGAAACCAAAGTGGAGGGTTGAGAGGGGGGGG